AAGTTTTCCACATGGAGCTTAAAAGAGAGATGTGAGTCGACCAAGATACCCAAATATTTACAGGAATCAACAAACTCAATGGGGACACCATTTGAGGATAAAATCAGAGGAAGAACTGCTGAGACCGACTTCCTGTTTGACAAAAAGCATCTCTTTGGTTTTATCAGCGTTTAGGACAAGTTTGAGACGGAACAAATCTGACTGGATGATGTCAAAGGCGGATTTCAAAAGCTGGAAAGCCTTATCAACTGTTTTAGCTCGACAATAAACAACTTTGTCATCAGCATAGAAATGTAAGGATGCATCAAGGATGCTCTGATCTACATTACCTATGTAGATTGTAAAGAGGGTGGGTCCTAAGACTAAGCCTTGTGGTACACCATTGTTGACTATTAAATAACTTGAGGAAGTACCATTATGTTGAACGCATGGCGCACTATCTGATAGATAGTATGAATGTGATAAACCTCTGATTATTATTTGTACAGATCTAGTAGAGTGTTGTATGAATGTGGACACAGATTGTGTTGTAAAGAGCTTTGATAGAAAGGAGTTACATAAGTACAGTCCATTTAACAAATTCTCAATATCTGCACATTAACTGAGTTATTTGCTTTTTTTTTTTTTTTGTTGTTAATATTTGTTGAGTTGTTGCAGCCATCTTGAATGTAATTTATTATTAATAATAATATTATAGTTATATTTCTATAATAATTATAGTTAGCAACTATGGTAAACCAGTTAAAAAAAAAAGTTAGAATCATCTCACTCTGGGTTAATGATCAGTGAAAACAAATGTATTTTAAACCAGATTTACAAACAGGAAGTAAATAACTTGTTTAAGATTAGAAAGCAGATCGTTCCCAAGTTGTGGAGCCATGTCTGATAGTTTTCAGGGCGTCAGTTCAGTGTTTACCTTCAGAGAGTTTTAATGAAATCCATCTACTGGTTCAAGAGATACTCTACAGACACAAGATGAACCATTATCACGTAGCAGCTGACCGTACAGATTCAGAGACAAACGTGTGTCCTCCGTTAGAACTTCAGGCCCTGAGAGGCTGGAGCTCCAGTAACGCAGACTCTGGTGTCAGAACTGCAGCACTCCTTGCGTGTGCTGACGCATGTGGATCACAGTTATGAGGATGACTAACCGTACTCCCCTGGAGCCTGTTTGTTCTCAGACTCTGAATCATGTGCACACCTGGATGATGTCATCAGCCAAACAGCTGTGGCTCATTCAGACAGACGCACAGCTGTTCTTAGGCAATGTGTCCATCAGGTCAGATTATTATTGAACATCGGCAGCTCATTGTTTGGAGTCAAGATAAATACTAGCTGATACGGACCCACAGCACATATTATGGTCCCTAACAGATTGCGCAATATATTAGATTAAAATTATGCCATCAACGATTTAGACCGTTAGCAAAATATCTTGTGAACCATGAAACTTTAAGTAGATAATCACTGGATGTACATCTACAACTGATTCTCTTGTGGTGCCGACCCTATTGAACGCTGAGCTGAAGTTTGGTGTGGTAGTAGCTGAGAGTCATCCACAGCACATACTCTGAGCTGGTTGAGCATTTGTCAGGAGGAGTAAAACGTAAGGACGAGAGTTTGGAGTTCAGTTTGGTTTCAATATTTAAGTCATCACTAGTGTTGGTGAAGAACTAATCATCCTGGTGTGCGTCAGTCCGCCTCTGTGATACCTCTACACGCAGCAGTAAAACTTTTACAAATCCTGGCTAACCACAAGAGGCTGAGTGCGATAAGACCAACGACATTACGTCATCTCGGCAGACTGCACTTCTTTAGTTTCCCCTCTGGCTGCGGCTCGTCCAACAATTTGTCTCGTCCGCTGAGCGTCTGGTATGCAGGGTGGGTTCTGTGGATCACTCCCACCCTGCAGGAATTTGGGAAGTTTCCTTCCATATAAGGACTTTTCGATATAAATCGCGACAGAGGAAGAGCATGAGGGGGCGGAGCCAAAGATCGATTAACAGAGTGGAAATCAAAGAGTACAGAGAGTAGCAAGATGATTCACACACGCTTGTGGTTTTACATCTGACAGCAATGTCCAGTACTAAGCGTAAACTTTAAGCTCGTGTCTTTAGAGAGGCCCTTTTTACACACTGAACAATGAGATAAGCTAAGTTGCAATTTTGATTACAATTATGATGATGATTACAAAATTATAACGTCATCTTATAGTAATATTTATGAAGCCCCTCATAAACATGAGATTCTAGGTTGTGGGCTGAGCAATGCCCACCCACGGCCACTGGTGGTCCCACGGCCACTGGTGGTCCCACGGCCACTGGTGGTCCCACGGCCACTGGTGGTCCCACGGCCACTGGTGGTCCCACGGCCACTGGTGCTGATGTTTCTGAATGTATCGGTTCTGAAAAAATACTTAAAAGGCTCTTATTTGTATAATTAGCTTAGCCTAAAGGAAGACTGAGCCCTTTTCTTCATGGCCCGTACTCAGTTAGTACTGCCACGGCTGATGAGGTGCCTATTATTGATAATTTGACAGAAAATCTTAAAAACAACCTGACTCTCCCTTGAGGAAGTCTTTCCACGAGGCTCGAGTCGCACCGTTGAACGACACGGGCTGCGACGACAGGGAACTATCTTGACCCCAGCTTTGGCAGTGGGAGCGCGCGCTCTAATTGGCGGCGGTGAAAAGAAAGGAAGTATTTATTTCTGTGCGGAGCCTCATTGGAAGAGAAAGTCGGAGATAATTGAGCGCAGTTTTCTATTTGGAAGTTTCTTTGACTCCCCGGGAGCAAACAAATCGAAGTGACAACAATGGCCTCCTTCAACAAAGGTCCCGCTTATGGATTATCAGCCGAAGTGAAAAACAAGGTACGTGTTGAAACGTTAAAATTCAACAAATGAAAGTAAAGTGTTGAACTTTTCTCCACATCTTCATGAGGCGCGAGCCGCGCAGTCACCTGGACTCCATTTTGACTTGCGTGCCCAGGTTTAAACGGAGATGAACACAGATTACAGACGTAAATTACAGGTTTTATATTTTAAAAGGTGAAACTTTAAACAGGAAGCTTCGAGTTGTACGCACAGGAGTATTATTATTCTCTGTTCTTTGAGTGAAGGAAGTTTTTAAAACTTTGGGCGTTGCCCTTTTTTTAGCTACGAAGTTTCGTCGTTGAGGCTTTTCCTCTTTTCAGGACTTTTTCTTTCAGCGGCCGTGTGCCCCTCGTTATCAGATGACTAATGAAGCTGCTGTGGGGTGAGCGCCACGCGTTCAGCTGTTCAGAGTCCAGCGGGTTTTACCTTGGTCACAGTTAAAGTCCCGTCCAGGGACGGTCTAATGTGGGGGGCCATGTGGGGCCCACTGACGATTCAGGGGTGGCACACCAAAATTAAAAGCGGCAGGAAAAAAAACCTAAAAGGATTTAATTATTTTATTTCTTAACTTGACTTGAGAAATTGTTGACTGATGTACAGTACCTGGATACCTCCTTACGTGAGTCTTTTTTTTTTTTTTTTTGTCCTTTTGAGAAAAAATTCCCACAATCCTAACATAATCCACTGTTTTTATTTTACTAAAGTATTATCCAAAACTATTCCTTATATTCTTTTTCATGCCTTTATTAGTGTGAGAAACTTGTCAGTCCACAACTTATTGAAACGTGTCGAGTTATATTTCTAAGACATGATATAACCTCCTGAGATGCAGACATTGGTTTTAGGTAGTTGACCTTATTCTGAGGGACAAGATGGTAAGATTTGTTTCTTATTTTTTTAACTTTTGAAAGTTTTGAATACGATTTATGGTTTATATATAACATGTAATTGCTGAAAAAACGTGCTTATTTATGGTTGAGGTTCTACTAATGCTACATGGGGGCAGTAGGTGGTCACCAACTTTTGGTGGTGCCCCAGATGACCCGAAGCTCCAGGGCCTTGTTAAGAGCTCAGTGTTGGTTTTGGCACTCCCTCCAAATCTCTTCATCCACCTTCAATCACCGCGGGTGCTGGAGACATGGTGACCACAATCATGTGGTGACTTTCTTTTGCTTGTGGCAAGAGGCGTCTTTGAGACTGCTGCAACTAGGTGATGCTTGCCTGTGTTCGTCTGCTTACAAACAAAATGACACTTTTAGGAAATAATCCGTGGGTTTACCTCAAGCCAGCCTAATTCAACATGGCTGCCACAGACTACTGACCTGAAAATAAATACGTTTATAATTTAACCCATCTTACCAAATATGTGATTTTTAAAATTTTATGGGGTCATGCTCGAGTCATTCACAAGCACTATTTATTCTGCAAGACTTAATTTTTTTCCACTTTGGTATTAATTATCAACAGTGTTGCTGTTTGTCTGTTTGCAAAATATCTCCGGACCCATAAGGCTTCATGATGGATGTAGGCCTGCTGCGATAAGAAGTCAATTAGTCGCATGATAAATGAAAGTTAACCAACTTCTTGTCGAAGTTCCAGAATTCATGGTTGAAACCCGTGCCTTCGTGTGTTTAAAATAAATAAATAAAAAAGCTTGAACTTGTTTACTGATTGTTGTATTAAGAGCTTTGTGTGACGAATGCTATGCTAAAGGGCTCAAACCACACCGAGCGTCTGCCACTTTGAGATCCGAAAAACAGAAAGGAGACGGCCCGTGTCACGTCAAGGGGCCTTCCTCCCATTTTTCTTAGAGACGTGCTGCTCGCTCACTCCCTCACTATCCATCCTTCGGTTCAGTCTTATCCTGCCATCTAGTGGTCAAAAAAAGGTACTACACAAAAATTGGCCAATATTTCTTCTTAAATTTGACAATTACTGATTTTATTGTCAAATTTCAAACAATATTATTATCGCAGTAATTTGAGTGATCACCCAGCAAAATGTGTAATCATGACAGGCCTAGCTGGACGTGTAGCTACACTTGATAAACTTTTTGAGGTTGTCTCACTCAAGATGGCTGCCACAGAGCCTCTACATTAGCCGACACAGAAATGGCTCTGAACTGGTCTGGTTATGATGTGGAGCTAAGACTCGGTGTGAGACGGTCACAACCGTCTCGGTGTGAAGCATCTCCTGAGACTGCTCATAATGTTTTCAGCTGGTTTCACCAAGATGGCTACAACGCCATCATTTCTCATCATGAGATCTTTGAATGTCGGGGATCAAAGACTGATGTTTGTTCCTTTTTCATGTATAAGGAATGTAAAGATAAAGTTTCAAGTGATAGATGATGGTTTGAGTTGTGGTTGTCTCCTCTCAGGGCCTCTTTAACTCAGTTTTAGTTTTTTCCATTTGTCTTTTTATGGATGTGCGCACAGAGGGGTAGGGGGTCCCCTCCCTCGGCCGGGAGAAGAAAGCATGTAAATCTTTCTCCTGCTGCTTCTGTCCTCCTGGTATTTCCTTTCAACTGACGTAGCCCATTCTGTCAAACACCAAGCACTTGGAAGACGACCCCCTCCTCCTTTTTTGTTCTTGTTTTTACAAGTTTACACAATTTCCTGAGGTCATGATGAAATGCTGAGACAGGAATGACAGAACATGTCATCTATGCTAATGTGTTGGACATGAAGTGCTTTAAAAGAAATGGATGGGGAGGAAGGATTTGTATAATCTCAGACGTTACAAAATATGTGGCCCTCAGAGTATGTTTGAGCCAGCTCCTACAATTTAATCTTAAAATGATTAAATTTGTTTGTTTGCTGACGTCACTTTTTTTTTTTTTTTTTTGACCATCTTGATTTGGGTTGACTCAAGGTTCTGCATGTTCATCCAATTTCTTCCTGTGACTTTCATGAAAAATCTATTGGGATGTTGGATATTTTGCTAACAGACGCCATCAATAGCTCAGGTTTATTGTAGCAGGAGAAGATCAGGCTTGTTAAAATATGTAGTTAACAGTAATAAAGATTTATTGGACGTACGTTTGGGCTCTTGGATAAAACTAGAAACGATGAGTTTCAGTACAGAGGAGGTCCAGCTGTGCATCACGATCAAAATAATCTGGACTATGGCAGATCCTGTGTGTTCTTGACTTTAATGAACCGACGAGGCTGGGGAGCAGCCAGATGTCTTCAATACATCAGAGCAAACACCACCAAATATTCTAAGACCTAAAAGATTCAGTCTCTATGGAACTGCCAACACTGTTAAACATTTTGCACAAAGTACACAGACTACAGAAAATTTCATTTTAAAAGATCAACATTGATTTAGCTAATCTTTAAACATGGTGACTCGGCCAGCCGTCCCTTGCTGCACCTGAAATGGTTCATTGTGTCCAAATATTGAAACGACTCGGTCAACCTTTTGTTGATTTATAGTTTAAGATGACACAAAGTAGTTCCACTTCATTGTCGGTCCACTAAAAGGAATGGTTCTTGTTTTCACCGTCTTGATCTTTTTTCAGTTTGTCGTGTTTACAGTTCAAAGTAAAGGCGGATCAGTCTACTTCCTGCCATGTGAGAGATGTAATGCACTGCTGACCTTTGGCACAATGTAGTTTTAATTCATTTGAAGACCAGCAGATGAGGATCAGTGCTCTTTAACGTGCCAGTCATCTGAATATTACCAGGTCGTTGAGGGTTGTTCAGCTTCTATTAGGAGTGCATCAATTGTAGTTTTCTGGTCGATCTCTGAAACGTCTGACCTGCCAATTCAGATTTTGTTAAGCGACACTGTCGGGTGTTGTAAGGTCATGATGCACCTTCAATTTTACAATCTTATTTTATTGAAAAACATACCCTTCAACAATATCCTAGAAACAAATCAAACTTGTTTTAACTGGCCATGAGGTAGTGCTCTGGAATATAAATGAAGTTCAAACAGTTGTTAAAACAAAACAAAAAACCCTGTAAAATCTGTTTCTCATGCAAGTATGGGGCGATTTCCCTAAATTAAGGAAATCGGGGCGTTTAGTTTTTCTTAGCGGACCGCACGCCTCGCTGTAGTGACGACACCACATCATTCAGCTAGGTGAGAGCAGTGAGACATTATAAACACTCTGAGAAATAATCCAAGAAGCTTTATTTGAATGCAAACCACATTTATTCAAGACTCTCAACCATGAAGAGTAGATCATCATAATCCAATTATAAACATAAGAAGAAACCTCTCAACCCCTAAGGTGAGCAACAAGGTTGTTTTTATTCATTTTTTCCCTTAAGTTTAAACTCTTAAACAAAACTCCTAATAAGTTTTCTATTAAAACTTCAGGTCATAGTGTCTAAAAACTTGATGGATGGGGCCATTTCAGTTTCAGTTCCTTAATGGTTTTGATGGTGCAAAGTTCAGGCAACTCCTGGCGCTACAGTGTTCCCAAATATAATTAAATGTCCTGCACCACCTGTGGGTGTGCCTCTGCATCAAATGTGATCCACGCTGCCTCCTGCGGGGACGTGGGAGTACTCGATGACTCCTACGCTCACGTTTCCGTTTGTCGTGCACTAGCTGACCTGTTTAGGCTCAGAGCTCCGTGTTGCTCAGCTGCTGGATGGTTTTTGTTTGTGCGATCAGCACTGTGGGCTGAATTCCTTGAATTCAGCTCGTCATTGTAAATGACATCCGTTGGGATTCTCTGAGCAACTCAAATAACCAGTGTTGTGTTTAATATGTGGCTAACTGGAGGAAGAGAATCAAATTAGAGGGTAGAAGTTTCTTGAGAGTACATCCAGCTGTGAGCGAAGTGCTGCCAGTTTCTGTCCGTTACTTTGTGGTTTTGTTTAGCTAAAAGAGTCTGCATGCAGCACATTCAACACTTCATCCTTCACTGACGGAGGACTTAAAGTACCCATGCTCCACTTTAGATTGTTACTTTTGACTAGACTGGTTACACATACCAGACTTACCAGTAAGTGCAGTGTATATAGTATTAATACTCATCCAACATGGCCTCATGCACTAATGATGTTTGTTCAGCTCTAAGCATGGCTTAATTTTTAAAACCCCCTATTAATTAGAAACTGCGTAGTAGGAGAATCTAAATAATCGGCCTCTCGCACTCTTGACCCTTTTCCAGGAACTGACTCTTTGTGCTTCAGAGACTCTGGTGGTTCACCCAGCAGGAAGTCTCTCCCCGTTCCTTTTTAATTGTCACAACGCTCCAAGTTCATCTAAACAGGCTGAGCCACAACTCGAGATCCCTCAGCCCCTTTGCTCTTTCGTTCCCGTCTCTCAGCGGGAGATTTTGGACTTTGTCAGGAAAATGAAGCCCACTACATGTGCTCCTGACCCCATCCCTCCACTCTGGTTAAGCCAGTGGTTTTTTACAATCAGTCTGTTAATCACCAATCATCAATACGTCTCTACATTCTGGTTCTTTTCCAGCATCTCTGAGTGAAAACTGCCATAATTAAACCTCTCCTGGGGAGAAAAAACACCCTTGACCCAGAAATCCTAACGAACTACAGACCCATAGTTGATCTCTTTCCTCTTGAAGGGTCTGGAGGAAGTTGTTGCTGCGTTGCTTTGGTAGGCGGGGTGCTCTGTTCTGTTGATGGGTGGGGTGCCCTCTGGATAATGGTAGGGAAAACACTGCTTCCTCTTGGTCGTCATCAGCCGCCATAAAATCCTTCCACTGCTATGCCGATGACACTGAACTTTACATACAAACGGACCGTCACCCATCTGCTTAATCCTGAACACCACCTGTCACCTCCCTCCACACTTGCCATCTGTCTGGAGGAGATGGTCATGGATGAACGAAAACCTTCTCCAACTGAACAGCTCCAAAACTGAGGCCATGCTGATGGGCACATCAGCTCCAGTCATCTCCCATAACGGCCATAACCATTTGTGGTCAGGAGGACGTTCCCCTCCTCGTTGTCACCAGCTGTTGTTGGTTTGACCCCAACTTTTCTTTTGGCTCCCATGTGGCAGTGCCTCCTCTTCCTCAAGGAGCTGCTCATTCCACATCAGAACTTGTTCTGTCCGTTCTAACAACTCATCCATCTTCAAATTCCCAGATCTAAGCTTTTGTTCTGGGGTGGGATTCTCTCAGATCGCCTGAAGGAACTGCAGACTCCTTCAAAAAAGGATTAAAACTTTTTTTGCTTTATGGCCCTGATGTAGAAGTTTTTTTTTTTGTTTTTTTTTTTAGTTTTTAAGACTCTTGAAATGTTGCACTGTTGGATGTACAAAGGTAAAGTGTCCCATAGATGGAATTGGTTATATTTTATTTATAAGACAAAAGCTGCTCTGTAGAGTCGGGATCTCGCTGCTGCATCTGTGATGGATGGTGACGACAATGAGCAGTTTTCAGCTGCCGCCTCATTGAGTTCTGAGCACGTACGAGCAGCGAGTCAGGCCTCCGTTTAGAAAATTTAGGAAAATCCCGGCCTGCTTGTGTGTGTGGTTTTGGAACTGTATTTGGCCGTGCTCATTGTGTTGTTGCCCGTTTACGCCCACAGTGATGTCTCAGGTTGCTTTGCACTCACCTTGGCAGCTGCCCACATGTTTTCATCAACTGGAGTGAACTTTGGAAAAACAAATAAATAAATTTTGGTCCAGTTTAAGATTCAACACTTTAAAAGACGTTCACACGTAACAGAAAATGTTCTTGGTCTATAGCGGAGTCTCAGACACATACCTTCCATGCGCTGGGGACAAAGCTTGATGTGAAAACCAGCTGACGGAGCTGCGCTGCCACATGACCTGACGGGGCTGCACACTCCTTCAGCACTCGGTCCTTGAGCCCATCAGGACCAGAGGCTTGCTTTGGATGTGTCTCAGACAGGATTGAAACAACCCTGTGTTCTCCTACCTTTACTGGAGTAGGGTCAGGACTTACCAACTCCCACTGTTAAAGTGAAAGGGGATAAAAATGTTAATCTTGTGCGAGTGGGTTCGTCTGTAGCTTTTCTAGAATAACTCCAGCGGACAGATTTGATTGAAATTGTCAAAGTAATTGGATGTAAATCTACCTGGACTAACGGTCATCCCAATTTAAGATGGCCAGTACAGCTCGACACTAGTAGGCATAAAATGGCTTCAACTCTGTCTCTTAAAGGTCTTCATCTACATGTGGTGTGGTAGTTGCTGTGAATTGTGCACTCCAAGCAATAATGGGAAATGGTTTGTAAGATTAATCCTACTTTTCTAGCACCTTTCTGTTTAATCAAGATACTCAAAGAGCTTTACAACACAATCTGTGTCCTGTCTAGGTGCACCGATGAATCGCCCCCGATTTCCTTAATTTTGGGAAATCATCCGATACTTGCATGAGAACCCGTGTTTTTTTTTTTTTTTACAATTTTATTATTAAACGACAATTGTCTGAACTACTTTCATATTTCAGAGCACTACCTCGTGGTCAGTTAAAACAAAGTTTGTATTGTTTCTAGGATATTGTTCAACGGTATGTTTTTCACTATAAAATAATGGAAAATTGTAAGTGCATGACGACCTTGTAACACCGGACAGTGTCTCTTCTCAAACATTATCTGAATAGTCAAGTCAGACGTTTTAGAAATCTGTGATCGGCCACAAAACTGCACCCTAGTCCTGTCACATACACCGATGGGACACACATCAGCGGTAGTGAGGGGTTCAATGTCTTGCCCAGGGACACTTCACATCTGACTGCTGGTGGAATTTAATTCCCAACGTTCCCATTGGAGCACAACTGCTCTGTCCACTCAGCCACAGCTGCCCCATAATGGATCAGTGAAGGTCTTGCATTATCACGAGATCACACCATTTTGGTTTGACAAAAACCTTCCCACTATCATTTCCCAGGCCTGAAAGACAGCAGGTGATGTGCCCTCTCTTTCAATGCTGTGCCTTTAACTATAATCAGTGGTCGTTTTAATAGAACTGGACTTTCAGGGGGGCATTGGCCTACGTTTCCTGCCAAAAGGAGAATGACTGCAGCTCGTGAGAGGAGTTTGAGATGCCCTCGACAAGCATACGACCGTTGTGAGAAAATTTCCACATCTTTTAAAAATCCTCAGGTTTTGAGGAAGAAGGTCACAAGCTTCTGTGACGTGCTCAAGGAAAATGAAAACTGCAAATGTTTCTCAAGACTCTTTGGAGACTTGCTTACAAAAAAGTTTCCCAGCTTCTCCAACAATCAGCTCGCAGGCTCAAGGAGAGCTGAAGGTCACTTCTGACCATGATAACACGACTTGTAATCATCAACAACCTTGTTGCCCTCACCGGTTTTTAAAATAAAACCTTTAACTTAACCAGTTAAAGGTCACAGTGGACAGATGTACCATTATCGGAGCTTTATTCTCTGAATGTGAAAATTAGATGATCGTCTGGCTGTTTGTGCTTGGACCCTGTGAAACTCGTGATTTCTTTCTTTTTCCATCAGATTGCACAGAAGTATGACCCTCAGAAAGAAGATGAGCTTCGGGTCTGGATCGAGGACATCACCGGCTGCCCCATTGGCCCCGACTTCCAGAAAGGTCTAAAAAGTGGAGTCATTCTGTGCGAGTAAGCAGCTCATTTTTATTATTTTTTTTATTATTTTGAATGTAAAATAGTAATAATAATAATAATTGATGCACCTTTTTTCAGACTTATTAACAAACTGAAGCCAGGCTCTGTGAAAAAGATCAACCAGTCAGCACTGAACTGGCATCAGGTGAGTAAACTGGTGCTGAATTCCTTTTCAACCCTCTGGGTGCGGCCTGTTGGTACAAGGGAGGGCTGTTGTTGTGTGCAGTTAGTCTTGGCATCTAATGACTAACCATCTGTTCTCTAAACGCTTCGTTTTGCACCAGCCCATCCACAGTAGAAGGTCTAACTATTACAGGACATGTTGGTTTTAAGTGTAAACGGACTATCATGAGACTGGATCAAACTTGTGCACACTCACTGCACGTTATCTCTAGGTATGTGTGCTAAGAGCCCATGTAAACCCTGCATAAACACTGTTGTTGAATTTGGTGTGGTCTTAGCTGGAGAACCTGACCAACTTCATCAAAGCCATCACAACGTACGGCCTGAAGCCTCACGATATCTTCGAAGCCAACGACCTGTTTGAGAACGGCAACATGACGCAGGTCCAGACGACGCTGCTCGCTCTCGCCAGCATGGTGAGTTTTGAAATGACTATAAACACACGGCCATAAAATGTGTCAAGTTCTGCTGCCATCCCAACAAAGTGTTGCTTTGCAGCCTCATTTGTGATGATTATTACGTTTCTAAGCTCTTAATATTGTGATGAGCAGTAATATGCCTTTTTAATGCAGCAAAGTAATTTCTAGAGTAAACTGGGTCCTGATGAAAGCTGGTATGACTTTAGTGGGTGTCTCTGTAGGTGCACGTCTTGGCTTGGAATAAATGGTAAATACAGGACGTACGAGTTGTTGGGGCTAAGGTCGGGCTTTGACTCTTCTACACAACACATGGAAGTTTATACTCTGTTTGTGGTAACAACCAGGTTCAATGAAATGTACTTCAGCAATACCAGTTAAAAAAAAATAGATTTTTTTTTTTTACCCCATTCACAAATCTGTTACCGTATTTTCTGCCCTATAAGTCTCAGTTCTTTGCATAATTTGCATGCCCTGCGACTTATCGGCCGAAGCGACATATTTATGGATTTTTTTCCCCCATATTTATAAACTGATTTTTAGGCTGAATGTCTGGAACCCGGTCTGTTGGCTTTCAGAAGCTGTGGCCCCTGAGCAGTTTGGTGGAACAGCCCTGCTCTAAACGCTCTAAAAAGAGCACAGCATGCCATGATCTCTGCTCTCTGCTACCTGCCAGCGCTGTCGGCCACGCCCACTTCTCTGCTGCAGAGCGGAGATTTGACAAACGATTCCGTGCTGATTGTACGGCTCATCCTTCAATCAGCCATTGTGTCATGTCCAACCTTACTTTGTAAAACCGTGACACAGCGAGTCTGCGAAAAACAAACCGAAGTAGCGAGGGTCTCCTGTATCTGAAACCACAAGCCCAGTACACGGGAGTGGGGAAAGGATGTGAAATGTTTACTGGAGAAGATGAAAAGCACTCTTTGTAGCTTTACTGTTTGTTTTTGACTTGGAATAATAGAAGTATAGATATCTGCTCTAAACTACCCTCCTATAGATGATAAACCATTTAGTAAACCTTGCTCTCACCGTAGAGAGACATTTTTCTCCACAGCACCAACAAAATGAAGCTCATCTGAAAAGTTTCGGCACCAACACAAGAAGCAGAACCCTCTTATCGCTTCTCGTTTGTGTTCTCAGTGGAACAACCTTTTTACTTGTGGTAGTATTGATATAAACTTGTCCCTTCCTCTCACCAAAGCTTTGCTCCACGACCCACAAGGGAAGAAGCGAGTAAAAAGACGGTGGATGGTGTTATCATGAAGCCCAAGGCAATGACCCAAGCATCTGTTTCAGTTTACTTCTAGATACGAGACGAACGTTTGTAAAAAATAGTTTGAGAGCTGCTAGGAGAGAAGGACATCCAGTCAGGAGCTGAGTTGAAATAAACCTTTTTAAATGTTGTTTATATTTAGTGAAATAGACAATTTTACCAGCAGCTGTCTGCTGCCAACGTGGGGTTTAATAAAATCATAGCAACCCAATAAAAAAAAGTTGTTCAACATGTGAAGTGTTGATAAAACAAGTGTTTGTTTGAGGTTTACAGATCTTAACATTTGGCACATTTGTTTCAGAACGGTGGTCTTGAAACTGCAGTTTAATGCGTGCAGCCTGATGCTGTGGCCTTCAGGCCTTTAATCTTATTTAAACTTAATGTTGTTTTCTGTTCCAGGCCAAGACCAAGGGCTGCCAGTCACGGGTTGACATTGGAGTGAAGTATGCTGACAAGCAGGAGCGGGTGTTCGACGAGGAGAAGATGAGGGCTGGACAGTGCGTCATCGGCCTACAGGTTCACTTTGTTTTACGTTGGCGTCGCCGTGTTTAGTGTTGCTGTCTGAAGGTAACCTGGTGCACGTGCAGCACTGTGGCTCTGGGCAATACATTAGTCATGTTCAGCTTGTTGGTAAACAAACTGACTGTAAAAACAAGTCTGTTACAGCTGATCCAGTTAATTTAGGGTCATTTACAGTGAAAATGGTGCAGAAAGGCCGTGTCAGTTTCTGCATGTTTCATTGTTCTCTCACACCTCCAGACCTTTTGTCACTTGCTTTGTTTGCCAGGAGAGGTGTCCACAGTGGTGCCTGAGTTAAAAAAACAAAAACCTGAAATACAACTTTGTATTGTTGCATCATGTAAGAATAGTGCGTTTGTATCTGGCATGTGAAACTGACTCACACCTACGTGTGTGTGTGTGTGTCCTTGTTTATGCTACTTTGTGAGGCCCATTTTTCCAACTTATACTACATTGTGGGGACCAACTGCTCCTTATGGGGCCCAAAGCCCGGGCCCCATAAGAAGTCCCGTTGGTGGGTTAGGGGCTAGGTTTAGGACTAAGGTGTGAATTGAGGATGTGTTAGGTTTAGGGTTAGGTATGTACTGGTAATGGTTAGGTTATGGATAAAGGTCATGGTTAGGCTATAGAAATGAATGAAAAATGAATGGAAGTCAATGCAAAGGCCCCATAAAGATAGCAAAACAAACCTGTGTGTGTGTGTGTGTGTGTGTGTGTGTGTGTGTGTGTGTCATCACACACACCTCACTGCTGTTGAGCTTTGTTTGTTTTTGCCATTCTTGCATATCTGTTGTGAAACCCTGTGAACAATTCGTCTCGTGATGTTTCTTTGTAGATGGGGACCAACAAGTGTGCCAGTCAGGCGGGTATGAATGCATACGGCACCAGAAGGCATTTATACGACCCCAAAGCTCACATCCAGGCCCCCATGGACAACACAACCATCAGCCTGCAGATGGGCACCAACAAAGGAGCGAGCCAGGTAGAACAACCAAACTCATCAAGTCAACAAAGACTTAAAGACCTGAGCTCCAGAGAGCGCCGTTTGTCTTTCTGCTCCTTTAAACCAGCTTCTTGCTTGTTCCTATTCGAAGCGGTCCTGAACAGTGTATGATCCTGAAGGTTCAGTGAAATGGGTTGACAGAAAGTGTTGTCTGCTGCAGGCTGGTATGACTGCTCCTGGGACGAGGCGGGCCATCTACGACCAGAAGCTGGGCACAGACAAGTGTGACAACAGCACCATGTCCCTACAGATGGGCTACAGCCAGGGAGCCAATCAGAGCGGCCAGAACTTCGGCCTGGGGCGGCAGATCTACGACGCCAAGTACTGTCCCAAAGCTGACGAGATGGCTGAAGGCCAGAATGGGGCGGGCAGCGGCCACGACTACATCCCCGACTACCAAGATGAGAGTTACCACGTTTACCAAGAAGGAGGGCGGATTTATGAAGACGATGGGACAGATTACTGAACGGACTGAAGACGGAGGACGGAGTGAAGGTGGTGTATGAGATCTCAAGGCAGGCAGGCGGTGTATTTTTATATGTTCTGGATGCTGCACCTTTCTTTTAAGGTCCATCCTTCTTTTTTTAGTATTGAGATCGTCTTTAGCCCTCTGTGCAAAGTTATTGAAGCACATATCATAATGAACTGTATTCTGTGATTTGTTTTATTTAAAGTGACCACACAAGCTGGCTGTTTGGCTCAGCTCCACGTTTGTTGCAAATATTTTTTTTTTTTTGTGCCAAGGTTACATTTTTGTCTGTTTTTTTTTTTTATTTCCTCCTCGTTAGCCTCATGACATTTTTTTTTTTCAAACATTTAAAAAAGGAGTTAGTTTCGTACAGTTCCAAGAGTCTGTTACTTGGATTAGAACACCCATGTTTGTTTTTCATAAATGCTGCGTGATGATTGCCCTGTGAACGAGACTGTGCATTTATTTACTGTCAGTGTCTTCTACCTTCCTTCAGTATTGGCTGAGGTGCTCTGCAGATGAGAACAAAGTGGATTATGAGAACAAAGCCTTTTAAATCGCTCTATTTGCCTTTTTTTTAAACCTGTTTTTGGATGAAATAATTAATGTTGAACTTGTTAAGCTGGAGAAAGGCTCACTTTTGTTTTGCAGTGAAGAGGAAGCATAGAAGAGAAAATACTGAAGTTTGGAACATTCCTATCTGTAATACTGGATCTGATCTTTCTGAGACATGTACATGTGTACTAATCCTTCAGTTCTGTATGATCGTTGTTATTTATGCATATCTGCGCAGACAGGAAAGTAATTTTAGTATCATGAATCAAGTTTGACATTGGGATTTGCTTTAGTTCCTCCTCTCTGGGGTAACACCTACAGAGAACACCAAAATGTGAGAACAGTATAATAAAATAAATGTATTCCTTTATGTGTTGTTGACATGAGTTATTAAATGTGTTTTTAAAGGATGGTCATCACAATATGACGTTTTCTAAAATCAGTTTATCGTCGGTGCTCGAGCTGATTGGAACCGTTGAGTCAGTGTAAACTCAACGTTCATTATCCACAACTACTTCATATCTTCAGTTTAAGTTTTTATGCCAAAGGTAAATTGTTTATGTTCCCGTCTTAAAGTTAAAAAAAAGTTCATGTGTCAGTTTGGTCCTCTACTTGAAGCCCAACCTTCAGTGAAGTTCCATGAGATCTTCCATTTACTAAGGTTTGACTGAAACCAGTTCAACTCAGACTAAAACCTGGACATGAACACGGTGATGGGAATTCCTGTAAGAACTGCTAGGACTTGAATTTATTTTTCTTCAGCCTGACTAAAGTAGAAATGTCAGAAGTTTTTAAAATCACTGAATGTTTTAATGTGTAAAAGATTTATCTGTGATCCATGTCCATAAACTCCAGCGCCACCAGTGTTGAGATGCTCTTTGAACTTTGAGTTCAGAAGCTGCTTCTCAGTACTTTGATGATTTGATCTCAGAAATTAGGAAGGAAAATTCAAAGCAGCTGCCTTTTAAATAGGGTGGTGCAGTGGTTGGTGCTTTTGCCACAGGAGGATCACCGCCTGCCTCCGGTGCATGTGGAGTTTGCATGTTCTCCCCATGCATGAACTTGCTCTGGGTGCTTTGGATTCTTCCCACAGATCAAAAACATGCATGTTAGCATAAATGGCAACAAGCAAGCGGTACACCAATGTTGCTGGGATTTGAACAGTGAATGTTTTAAAGTTAAGTCGGGTCCACGGGACGGGATCAATACAACAAAAGTTGGATGAGGTCATGAGGAGCTTCATAAGGTGCAGCTGAAAGCAGGTTCCACCACTGGTGGGATGCAGGCAGAGGGAACCAGCGGAACAACAGGTTTGATGGTGCCAACTCAGAACACTGCTGGCGAAGCTGAAACTGGTGCTGAAGCTAAAACAAAGCAAACACCTAGCTAAAGGAAGAAAAATAAAAAATGCTAGCTAAAACCCAAGAGTAGCCAAATATTAGATAAAAGCCAAAAATGGCAAAAAGCAAAAGGCTAAACTAAAAGAAACAAAGTGGTAACAAGAAGCTAAAAGTAGCAAAAGGCTAAATTAGAACAAAATGCTGCTAGCTAAAAGCAGAAAAACCTATTTTAATGTTACTCTTCTAACATGAGCCTGAATATGTTTGATGGTGAATGTTCAGTTGATGCATTTGTCTTGATGACATAACTCTTAGTAGAAACCGTTTCCCACAGCTGAATTTTATCTAGACAAAAATGTACCCAGTTCCTCTGTGCCACCAACAAAAATAAAAATCCCGTGTCACCCTGTACAGTTCCAGTTCCTTCTTTCAGTTTCATGACCAAGTTAGAACTCTGACCTTTGCTAAGGTGAAGTGATCTGTCAGCTGCCCGGCAACAGAAAGGTGCAACGAAGAAAGCCCGAGCATGAAAATACCACAACCTGTTCATACCTGAGGCTCCAGATAAACAACGCCTCCAAGCTTCGGCTACTCGCCTGAGATTGGTACATGCACGAAGCAGAAGCCAGGAAACAAAACGGGGTGTTCTGCACCAACTGGAAGAGGAAATAGAGAAGTTGTGTCACGGCCTCATGTGGTACATGAGGTGGAACGAAACTGTGTACTCAAAGTTGCAGTTAAAAGTAATATACGAAAACATTTCTATATAAAATTAATTTAAAAAGCAGGTGTGTAAAGGACCAAAACAATAGACATCAATGCCGACTGAAAATTGACGGGAAACTATTTGGGGATGTGGTGCCTGATTTTACACATGTGCATTAGTAACTGTAAAAAGGTCAGTGTGGAAAAACAAATGTACAATTTGCACAATGACTAGGTGAAAGCATTCTGCCCACTCTGATTGGCTCCTTATGATAGGCACCGATGACTCCCTTAACTATGTATGTACTGTACATGTGTACAAACAGGGTGTCTCACACCTGATCATCATCCATTGATCGAAAACATCTAACTTCACCTTCAAATTAATTGTTAATCCTAGAGGTTCACATACTTTTACCATCACAAATATGTAATATTGGATCATTTTCCTCAATAAATAAATGACCAAGTATAATATTTTTGTCTTGTTTGTTTAACTGAGTTCTCTTCATCTACTTTTAGGACTTGTGTGAAAATCTGATGAAGTTTTAGGTCATATTTACACAGAAATATAGAAAATTATAAAGAGTTCAAAAACTTTCAAGCACCACTGTGCGTGTGTGTGTGTGTGCGTGTGAGTATTCATGTATGTATGAATGTATTTATGTATGCATGTATGTGTGTACTGTATGTATATATGTATGTATGTATGTGTGTACTGTATGTGTGTATGTTTGTTTATAAGTGTGCACTGTATGTGTGTATGTATGTATGTGTGTACTGTATGTATGTATGCATGTACTTTGTATGTATGTATGTATGTATGTATGCATGTATGTTTGTATATAAGTGTGTACTGTATGTGTGTATGTATGTATGTATGTGTGTACTGTATGTATGTATGTATGTATATAAGTGTGTACTGTATGTATGTATGTATGTATGTATGTATATGTGTGTGTGTACTGTATGTATTTATGCATGTATGTATGTACTGTATGTATATATGTATGTATGTATGTATATAAGTGTGAACTGTAAGTATGTGTGTACTGTATGTATGTATGTATGCATGTACTTTGTATGTATGTATGTATGTATATATGTATGTATGATGTATGTATGTATGTATGTATGTATGTATGTATGTATATATGTATGTATGATGTATGTATGTATGTATGTGTGTATTGTATGTATGTGTGTACTGTATGTATGTGTGTACTGTATGTATGTGTGTATTGTATGTATGTGTGTGTGTACTGTATGTCCATAATTTGGGCCGAGATGGGGTAGACATAGGGCAGCCAACTTGGGACCAGCAAGTCACGGCTCGACTCCCTGCCATGCTCACGTCGTGGTGTCTCTGAGCAAGACACCCAACCCTAATTGATCAGTGAGCGCTCAGCAGCTGCCCACTGCTCCACCTGGGTGTATCTCAGGTGTGATGGGTTAAATGCAGAGAACTAATTTTGTCATTGTATGGGAACATATGACAACATGTAGCACTTAAACCTAAGTGTTTTACGGTAGAAGTCCTTCATGATGCAAACACTGGACGGTGGTGAGCCACCACTGCCCACATGTGGAGCAGGGGCTGCCATCTAGGGCACCCGGATGAGCAGACAGGGAGTTAAGGGCCTTGCTGAAGGGAACAAGTGAGGGTGGAGGCAGTGCCTCACCGTTTCCACCAACATGTTACGGTCAGGTGGGGGATTCGAACCATCAGTCTTCCAGCACAGGTTCACTTCCTAACCTCTGCACCACAAACACAAAAAATGTGTATTTTCGTCCTCTTTGTATTCAACTATTTGAAACTGAGTTTAGACTATGCCTCTTTTGTGGTTAACCTGGTTAAATAATAAATAAACTAATTACGGTTTTGTTTAAAAAAAAACTTTCTCCAGCGGTTCAAAAGAAAAGATTGAACATTTGTTTGATAATGGAATGAAGAATTGTTTTGCGTCTTACACTGTATAAACTCTAAAATCTATCATGAAAATTCAGACAAAAAATAATGAGGAAGTTGCACAAAACTACAAAATTTACTGTCAGTTTCTTCACTTCCTAATGCTTAAAATGATATTGTCATTCTTTGGCTGCACGTTTTCAATACTACTTTAGTTAGTTCGACGCTTCAATGGTTTTACGGGATACCATATTTGTCAAATTTATAGAAATTAGGACATCCTATCAAGCAACGACATAGTCTTGTGCAGTCTTATGATAGAAATACGCCACCTTCTGTTCACAGACGGGACAAATCCCGGAAACGCTTTGTGGCGCCTGCCTCAAGTCTCGCGATATTAGGCCTGACGAGACTTCCGGACGTTCTTTTCCACTGGAACATCAGGCAAGATGGTAGGTGTTTGTCTGAAGCTAATGTTTCTGAATTTATCATCTTTAACCATCTGAGCTTTTATGTTGTTGACTGTGGTAAAGTATTGCATCTTCCGACAGTTAAACATACCCTTTTGTATTTGAGTTGGAAATGGTTGCTCAGAATGACACAAAGCTACGTTTATTGGCTTTGCTTTAGTCCCAAGCACAGGCCGTCAGTGGCCGAGCTCAGCCGATGGTAAAAGTACACTAGGTATAATTAAACGTGAAATGTATGCGGGCTTGTTAAATGACTGCCAAGCACATATTACAATGATATGTGTGAAAATATTGTTGAGAGTGAACACTGGTGGATAAAAATTAGCGACCTAGCATAAATGCTAGCAAGTGCTGTAACTGGGACGGATGCTGGTTTTCTTTCAGGCGGACACCGAGGTCAAAAAGAAGCGTACCTTCAGGAAGTTCACCTACAGAGGTGTGGACCTGGACCAGCTTTTGGACATGTCTTAGTAAGTGATGCATAATTCAGTGAGTCCTTCAGAGCCACTGTATTTATGAAGAACAGTATCTTAGAAAATGTGTATATACATTCTGCATGTCTTCAGATTATGGTTGGGATTATTATAATTCAATTTGACACCAGTTCAGTGAACTGTGATGGGATTTATGAAACTATTATTGTTTTGTCCATAACCACATACAAGAATACTGAGCATAGAATCCAATCCCTTAAATCTAAAAGGAAATAATTTGCTCTATACTGTTGTATTAATTTTAATTCTAACAAGATTTTGGGAAGTAAATGATCAAAAGGAGTCATAAAGTACTGCGAATTAAAATTCTCAGTCACTGGACGTACCTGTATGTTACCCACTTTCCTCAGTAGCCTATTTCACAAAATTCATTCAGACTTTATTTAGACAGGTTAATCCCATTGAGCCTCGGGGACTCATTTACAAGAAAGACCTGATTTCAACAAAGCGTGATGACGACAATAGACGGTCACAAAAGAGACATATTTGTGCAAAACGGCTGCAGAGACCACAGTATGTTAATGCTACTGTTTGTAAATCACTGATGGAGCTGAGCCATGTCCCACACAGACATGAAACATTTTGGAAATAAATCGGTTGGTGTAAAACCAAAAGAGGTGTGGTACACAATACATTAAATGTGATAGGTTGACGTTGTGTCATTTTTAAACATAATTAACTAAAACTCAGTTTAGTGATCCTCTTTTCAACCAAATGCAAAGTTGCTTTGTGTCATCTGTTGTCTACATCACAGAACTGAGCCTGAAGTTGAGCACACACTTCTTGCCTTCTGGCTGCCTTAGTATGATTTCTGAATGGACTGATTGGACCACCCAGTCGCGGGATCAAATGTGCATGAGCTAGAAATTACAGTGAGGAAAATAAGTATTTGAACACCCTGCGACTTTGCAAGTTCTCCCACTTAGAAATCATGGAGGGGTCTGAAATTTTCATCTTAGGTGCATGTCCACTGTGAGAGACATAATCTAAAAGAAAAATTTGGAAATCACAATGTATGATTTTTTAATAATTTATTTGTGTGTTACTGCTGCAAATAAGTATTTGAACACCTGCCAATCAGCAACAATTCTGGCCCTCAAAGACCTGTTAGTCCACCTCTAAAAAGTCCACCTCCACTCCACTGATTATTCTAAATTAGAAGCACCTGTTTGAGGTTGTTAGCTGTTTAAAGACACCTGTCCACCCCACACAATCAGTAAGACTCCAACTACTAACATGGCTAAGACCAAAGAGCTGTCCAAAGACACCAGTGACAACATTGTAGACCTCCACTAGGCTGGAAAGGGCTACGGGACAATTGTCAAGCAGCTTGGTGAAAAAAGATCAACTGTTGGAGCAATTATTAGAAAACGGAAGAAGCTAAACATGACTGTCAATCTCCCTCGGACTGGGGCTCCATGCAAGATCTCACCTCGTGGCGTATCATTGATCCTAAGAAAGGTGAGGAATCAGCCCAGAACTACACGGGAGGAGCTGGTCAATGACCTGAAGAGAGCTGGCACCACTGTTTCCATGGTTACTGTGGGTAATACACCAAGACGTCATAGTTTAAAATCACGCATGGCACGGAAGGTCCCCCTGCTTAAATCAGCACACGTCCAGGCCCGTCTGAAGTTTGACCATGACCATTTGGATGATCCAGAGGAGTCATGGGAGAAAGTTCTGTGGTCAGATGAGACCAAAATATAATTTTTTGGTCTTAATTCCACTCGACGTGTTTGGAGGATGAAGAATGAAGAGTACCATCCCAGAAACGCCATCCCTACTGTGAAGCATGGGGGTGGAAGCATCATGCTTTGGGGGTGTTTTTCTGCACAAGGGACAGGACGACTGCACTGTATTAAGGAGAGGATGACCGGGGCCATGTATTGTGAGATGTTGGGGAACAACCTCCTCCCTCAGTCAGAGCATTGAAGATGGGTCGTGGCTGGGTCTTCCAACATGACAATGACCTGAAGCACACAGCCAGGAGAACCAAGGAGTGGCTCCGTAAGAAGCATATGAAGGTTCTGGAGTGACCTAGCCAGTCTCCAGACCTAAACCCTATAGAAAATCTTTGGAGGGAGTTCAAACTCTGTTTCTCAGTGACAGCCCAGAAACCTGGCTGATCTAGAGAAGATCTGTGGAGGAATGGTCCAAAATCTCTGCTGCAGTGTGAGCACACCTGGTGAAAAACTACAGGAAACCTTTGACCTCTGTAACTGCAAACAAAGATACTGTACCAAATATTAACATTGATTTTCACAGGTGGTCAAATACTTATTTGCAGCAGTAACACACAAATAATTTATTAAAAAATCATACATTGTGATTTCTGTTTTTTTTTTTTTTTTTTAGATGATGTCTCTCACAGTGGACATGCACCTAAGATGAAAGATTCAGATCCCTCCGTGATTTCAAAGTGGGAGAACGTGCAAAGTCGCGGGATGTTCAAATACTTATTTTCCTCACTGTACCTAAATATTTTTTTTGTAGACTGCCTCATGTCATGTGTAATTGTTTATGGTAAATACGTAATGGTCACGAGGTGTTACTTTCAATTTTGCACCTCTTTACATCTGTTTCCACCAGAAGCACAAGTATCAGCATTAAATCAAAGGCTCACATGGGTCAACACAAAGTTGTCATTGCCTTAACTGCAGTTTTTATTGTCATGTAGTTGCAGCATTTTTTTCCCTCAGCATACAGTTTTATTGTTTCTGTCAAGTTTGTTATAAATATAGTTATAAGACAAATATTCTGTTTCTATTTTACAATGAGACAAACTTGTCAAAGCCCTCTTCTAAAACTAAAAGACTAAATGCACAGATGCATCTAATTTCTCCTACAAGCCTCTCGACACTTCAGGGACACTTGAATATATTTTGTCACGTCGTTCCTCTAGTCACGGACAGGACAAAGAAAGACAAATGAACACGATGACCTTTCTGTATGACGAACATCAAAAGTCTTGTTTTGAGATTTTTCTCCGTTGCTCAATATATTTTTGTCTGATTTCTGGCTTTCCTTTGTGCCGTCCCTCCATAGCGAACAGCTGATGCAGCTGTTCTGTGCTCGCCAGAGGAGGAGGCTGAACCGTGGCCTCCGCCGCAAGCACCAGTCCCTCCTCAAGCGCCTGCGCAAGGCTAAGAAGGAGGCTCCTCCTCTGGAGAAACCAGAGGTGGTGAAGACTCACCTGAGAGACATGGTCATTCTTCCAGAGATGGTTGGCTCCATGGTTGGTGTGTACAACGGCAAGACGTTCAACCAGGTTGAAATCAAGGTACGATGCTCTTAGTCACTTGGAAAGCAGGTTTATCGCACCTGTTTGGAGACTAGCAGTGTTTAAACTTTAAGAAATTAATCTATATAGACGGTCCAGGAGGCTTTGGCTGCTGCTGTGGTGTCGTGGTAGGGCAGCCGACTTGACAACAGAAAGTCGCAAGTCCAAGTCCCCGCTATGCCCACATGTTGCGGTGTCCTTGAGCAAGACTCCTACTCCATAACTGCTCCCCGGGTGCTTGCATATCTGCCCAGTGCTCCACCTGCGTGTCCTTCACGTGCTAAATGCAGAGCACAGATTTCATCATCGTATAGAAACGATGATGACACAGCACTTTCTTCTTTCATTGACATGATTGTACAGAAGTGTGGCCTTTTCAGAAGCTGATCCGATATTCTATAATTTCAAATAATTTCTGTGGTATATGTTGGTGAAAATACAACAGGATTATGGTACGAGTTCCTCGTGTAGACTCTTCAGCTATTTTCTTTCCAGATTTTAAGAGAATAAAAACATGTGCCATCATTCTTTGCTTCTTTCATGCTGTGTGCAGTTTTAAAGATGTTGTATACACATAATCTACAGTGTTTCCCCTTATCCAACAGAGCCGAGCGCCCTGCCTACCTAATTCAACCCCCCC